TTGAAACGTAAGCCACTCTGCTGTAAATCAGAGCCTCTTATAAATTTCAGTGAACGTGAGGGATCACGTTAATTGTAAGTGATGCATCATGTGTGCAAAGCCATGGAATCATCTCTTAACAACTTTAAAATCAACTTTCTCTGGCCTGTTTTTCTTTGACAGTAAAAAAAATAGAAACTTGCAAAGAGCACTGACAGTTTAACTCTTTGAAAGCAAGTAACATAATTTGCATTAAAATAACTATCTTCTAGAATGTGGATATAAGAAACGTCATAAACACTTTGTTACTTCTTTAAACAGTTGCACGTGAAACCTCCTTCAGGCAAATCCCCAAAATATAACGTGCTAGCTCATTTTTAACAAAAATGAAAAAGATCCATTGCGTACAGCATACTCCTCTAAGTTACGATGCTCTTATGTTCTCTGCAAACAGATCAGAAACGGAGTTTACATAGGGTGTAGTCAAAAGCTTCATCCAACATTTTCAGGATGTTCTCATCCCCCTTACGCTGTGCTGAGTTATGAATAAAGCAACCTACTCTAGGGAATACTAGTACCTGATTTACAAGCAACTTTTTACTTTTATTTTGACAGTTATGCAAATAGGGTTTATTTGCAAGTGCAAGATACAGTCATAAAATTGGAGTGATTTGTACATTAAGCCTTTCCATGTTCACATTTTTTACAACTGGAAATTAATTCAAGGAAAAAAAAAAAAAAAAACCCTGCAGAGGTAATTGTAAGCTATTACGAAACCAATCATTTCCAAACTATGAATTGCCTTCAGCGAGTCATTTGCATGCAGAGCTTGTTCTCTGAAGTACTTGCTCCATGTTCTTCCCACATCATAATACTCAACTGTTTTGCAATTACTATGAATGCAGTCAAGAGTAGGGAAGAAAAAAAGCACTAGGCACTTACATCATTAGACTGAAATAATCTGGTCATCGCAAAAAAAGCTTCTGTGGCTTCAGTGGTTCCAAAGTGTTCACCCTGAAAATAACAAACAAGAAGCGAGAGGTCAGCCAAAGCATCATCGTCCAACAGCGTCCACCTCTCACTTATAAGGCCTACTCTCATACTGACAACCCTTTCCTGAAAGATGTTTTCTCACCTGAGATACAGACTCTCCCTCACCAAGTGTTTATCAGAGAGTACGGACCAAGATTACCGGTTCTTATCTGCTTGGCTTCAATATAAATGTCATCCACAGCTGTACAGTAATGGAATAGGAGTTGGACAAGTAACTTGTGTTCCCTCTTTTGACTTTAAATTGTCAGCAGTTAATTTTGCTTCGTGTTCGTTAATGAGAAGGATCCCCTTGCAATTTACTTAACTTGTGACTTGTGCCAACTAAGACTGAAGAGCATAGGCTCACCCTAACTGATTGCAACTCTATGATAAATACTGCCTGACTCAGGCTAGGCATGCAGGAATCTGCTCTATGTGGATGCCGAAAGTAGAAGCATGATAAGGAAGCAGATTTAATTCCTCCACAAACAAAAAAGAACACCTTTGACTTCTTCACTTTGTGGCCTGTGTTCTTACCTGAACTCAGTTACTCCTATTTTTGCTAGACAAGTACAAACAACTCTTAATTACACAGTGCCACAGTAAATAAACAAAGACCAACCTACAGCTCTCACTTGGCACCTGGAAAAGTCTCACCTTAGCAAGGCAGTCACAAGTGAGAACACAGTACTACAGAGCAAACACTCCATTTCTCATATCCTTAAAAGCTGCCTTTCAAGTCGGACAGGGGAAGGTATAAAACTTCTTCCACACTGAAAATTATCAGAAACCAGCCCTAGGAACAAGCATTTGAGTTAGGAAGAAATGATTACAGTTACCTGGTTCAGCAAGTAAAGGATCTTGGTAAGTATGTGCAGGCATCTTCGTGGATTTATAGGAGTCTCATTAAAGATACGGGCCTACAAACGCAACATAAATCCTGTATTAATAATTTTCCCCTTTAGAACAGAAATTAAAGCAATTTGTTTTCAACCAAGTGGCTTACAATTTTTTCAGCACTCTGAACAAAGGGCAATGACTCAGCTCACCAGGCTCTAGCTTAATCAAGACCAGTGCTGGACATTTGGCATTAACAACAATATATTTAAAAAAGTATAATTTAAAATTTTGCAATTCAATTCTTTTCATAACGTCTACTGCCCAAACACTACTCAGCACTAGTTTGTGGGAACACTGAATTGAAATGATTAAGCTCGTACTTAACAGCTCTTTGCACACCAAAGAACTCCCTAAATATTTAATCACACATCCATCTCACCACTTGCAATTACTCTTGGAGTACATAAAAAGAAGCAGGACGATCCATTATGAACGTTATTGACCCTTTATTATATTTAGTAATATGCTGAAGGATCACAGGAAAACGGGCAGATCAGCTCTTCAGGGGTACTTTGAGGGATCCTGTGTATCCACATGGAAGGGAGAAGCCAATTCCAATCCAAGTCCCGTGCATAAAACCCTCTCGTAGAGAAAATCACATGCACTTAATTTACCTACCCTATGAATTTAAACTAACTATCCATCAAATTTAGACATCCACGTTTCCTGCAATTTGCGTTATAATTCCTTCTTAAGCTGCTAACACATCCCTGATCACAGACAGTTAAACAATATTACATGGTGACTATTCGTACCTCCTGAAGCACAGCACTCTTCTCCAGGTGCTGGAAAGGATTAGAGCCACTACCTGAATAACAAAAGAGACCTCTCAGTTAGGGAAGCACACTTATCACATATTCAAGTAACTAGAAACAACAGCCCAGAACGTGCAGGAACAATCCCTAAGCGTTAGGAAATCATCTTACAAAAACGCTACAGTGACGTTACACCTTGAATAACTGATGTTCTCCAACAACAGCTTTCAACCTACTTTCTGAAGTTGTAGGTTAAGAGTTCCAGGAAAAAAGGATGACAGATTCAACACAGCTGGAGGGTTAGGAGGAAGGAAGGTCTTTACTACTAAAGCTATCTTAAGAGCCCCTTTACACTAGACTATTCACTCTTTTTCTTCCTAGACCCCCTTTTTTCATTTCATGCACAGACAGCACTGAACACGTCAGGACGCAGCAGCTGCTAAGCATCTGCAATAACAGTATATTGATTAAGGTAGCACTGAAAAGGGCTACTTGGCAAACTTCAAAAACAGTACGACTACTACCCATCACAAAATCCTCAATACTAGTCTAGCCTCACAGAGTAACTTTTCACGCTTTGTAACAGTCCAGACACAGACCTTGAGAAGTCACCTGTCAGGTAAAAACAAGATCTGCAAAAGGACTTCAAAAAGATTTCGGAGATGAAAACACGACGTGAAGCCCAAATCCCTCTCTTTGCCTGCTGCAGGGGAACATAAGTATCTTCCGCAGTGTAACCCCGATACCCTGTTTCGGAGAACCATCTATACCCAAAATACAGCTTGAGTCCCTCCGCTGGAAAGTGGAGGGAAGTCTTTAGTTTAGCAAGAAAGGTAAGAGAGATTGTCTTCTTTTCGGGATCTGTGAGTAGAAGCCTAACTAAAGAGCTCTGAATGAATTCGGTGGAAATGACACTTCTCAGAGCCAAGCTTTCTAATCCAGGTTCAGAGTGAAAACACCTCTTGCAATCACTTTTATTGTCAAAAAAGGCCTCTTGCAGCCT